CGCCAACGGTCTGATGTGCAAGGGCATCGTGAGCAGATGATTAATGCGTGTGGGGGCGACAGGCGCGTATACGCGCGATGCGAGTACTCGCCGCGTACTTGTGCTTCCTGATCTCTTTCATTTCTCTTTCCCTTCCCAGTTCTCGCTCAACTCATGCCAATATTCCACAGCAGCTTCCTCAACGACCTCAAAGTTGTAACAGGCCCGAATTAGTCGCCGATAGTATGGTGGGGGGTTTTTTTTTTCCGATTGTGTTTGTGTTATTTATCTTATACCGTCTCAATGCTCTCGCTCGTCTCTTACTTCTTTACCGTCGTTGGCCCTCATTCGCCAGTCGATTCGTTCCTTTGTACGTTCAATAGGTTTAAAGGTAAACACCACCCTCGTCATCCTCTAACTCTTTTTTCCTACCTCACATTTTTTCCAGATAAAAGTTATTGACTATCATAACTTTGTGGAGTCTGACTGGGGGAGACTAACATTTTTCCTCTCTTCCCCTTATTCCCTCATTCCTCTCCTCCCGTCCTCTTCCTCCCACCTTCATCAGTTAACACTTACAGAGGACGTCCTCCCCGTGCCAAATCGTCGCGTCCGATAATAACATGAAATAAATACGCAACCTGACAATACTCTAGGAGGAAGAAACTCTCACGCCCAGCATCTCATCAGAGTCTCTGTCGCTGATTTAGGTTTTAAAGAGCCCTTCAACTCTTCCTGTGAACAAAAGCGTGTCAGCGAAGTAGAACTCAGGGAGGAAAATAGGTACACACTGCAATCGCGACTTCGGCGAGCGGGCCACTGGAGCCCGGCTGGAGGATGCAAAGCGGCGGATGAAGGATAATGATCGCATCAAGGAACTGGCGACGGAGGTTTTCTAGGCGCCAATGTTGGTTATTAACAAACTGGAAGAGGTGCGAGTTTCACATACTTGGCCAATGTTCGACTCTGATACTTGTATCACCGCTGCTATCTCCGGGACCTCCAGTTGTGGACGAGCAGGGGGAAGTGCTGGAGCATACGTCAACGGTTGTTCCACGACGAATGTCGTCGCGGGTCGCTGGTTCACAATACTAATAGGCTCTTCACTACTGACTGGGAAGTATCATATTTCCTCTAGATCTCATGCACTTGCCAGACACATTATTAATTGAGCATGTAACATTTAGAAGCCGTGTTTCTCACGTTGCCTTTAAGATCAAAACGAGGGCCGAAATATTATGCGCCGTATCGAGCTTCTTTAGAATCCCTCTCCCCTAATTGATCACAAAGCTACTCCACAAATTAATGATTCGGTTATTCAGAACTTATTCTTTGCTCAGTGGTTCGGGCATCTCATTCATGTAGCAGCAGTCAACTGCTGAAAAATTCAATAAGTCGAAATCTACTCGTGTTCAACGTTAGTGAGGTGCGTGTCACTATTGTTACAAACCGAACCGTGGGAATCACCATCAAATTCGATGCCGTGAAGCGAAACCTCAGCAGCAGACGGCCTATGCCCCCTCATTCAAAGCTCAAGGAAAGACCAACCATTGTTGTGTCACATTTACCAAGGAGGGTGGAGACCATCTTACTAACACCAGGGCTCGAAGAGATTTGAACCGTGGGAACAATTTGCCATCACAAGAGATCTCGCACGATCAGTGTTTACGCGAGGTATGCTGTCGGACGTTTGGAACGGCGGAAACTGGTTTAATGTCGTTCAGATATTGGTAAGGCTCTACAACCCCATCGGATCGACCTTCGTTGACATGCGCAGTTTCCTACCAAGTCAAGAGTTTCGGTGTTTACCTACCTTCAGCCAACTCAGCCGCGTTGCCCGATACGGTCACAATGTGAGAATTTGTCATGAAAGGATATCATTCAATGCCTTGCATTTGTGGCTTCTCACTCCCACCACGCTTGAATTGAATCCCATGTACTGTATGATAGTCTTTTCGACATTCTCTGATGCGTCGTCTTCCAGATTCTCCCTCCTGTTTGCGCCCCCACGATATCGCCGGCATGCGCAATTAATGCCGAGGATCACTCAAGCGGGAATACGAAAAACACCACACCCGCGCGCGGAGACGACATTTCGAACCGTGGGAATTTACTGATACCGTTATACAGACTAATTAACCGCGTCCGGTACTACGAGTCGTCGGATATCGTGCAATGGCGGGGCTTCCTAGAGACCTCGAGGTGATCTTCGGTTCTCCGTTACCATTTGTAATTCCGACCCGACCGCGCTCAATTTTTCGGCGGAGATTATTACTCCCGATACCAGCCTGTAACTCTGCTGCGGGATCCCGTCGGCGTGCGGGCGTAGAAAACAAACGGAAGGACGCGGTGCGCTGCTGCGGAGTAGGATGCGCTCTGCGCTACAGAACTCCACAAACTAATCCTTTTCGAATCGCGAGATGCGTACAACACAACATCCACGATGTTCCGTATATCCACCGCCAACGGTACCGATCTCAGCGCCCTATGTATCTCAACTCCGCTGCACACATTGAAATTCGCTCCACTCCAGCCCGGCTGCATGCCCAATACCGGACGCCACAGGGCTGTCCGTGGGTCAGTGTGGGTACGCCATCCATTGCCCTCTTAGGTTATTCAATCCAGCGGCGCCAAGGCAGTGGAATTTATTGTACCACATGTTTTTGTTCTCTGAATGTATGGTACGGGCTATGATTGGTCAGGGTTGAGAACGAGACGGAAATTCTAGAAAACGGTCAACTTGGTAGTGATATTTTGTTGCGATCAAAAGACAGATGTGCGTCAGCGTTGTGGGCGGCAAAAGGCCAAAGACATCGCCGAGAGACGGACGGACGGCATGGAAAGAATAGAAGAGGAAGACGCGGAAGGAAGAAAAGAAGAGCGAGAAAATGAAGATCAAGAAGAGGACCTACATGCGCCTAGTCTCTCTTGACAGACGCTCTATCAAACCTAGCTCGTACCTCGCATGATAGAGTCTGTTGGTTACCGCGTAATTTACCCGGTATCCTGCGTTATGAGGTAAGCATCACGAATGCTTGGACAAACAAAGCCTTAGCGAGACGCGTCTGGACGCGTTTTTCCCGTCTCACACTAATTTGAAGAACCAAAATCGCTCTCAAGGGCATTGGGACTGGCATTAGAGTGACCTACCGATTTTCCCTGCTTGGACGAGCTTTCCTGGGAAGGTTCATCGAAAATGCAACGAAAATAGGCAGAAAATATTCACTTTCAAGTTAACTGGGTCAGAAGCCTGACGGAAACCACAGAAACTGACCTGTATTACTTATTGCCCAAATACAGCCTCAATATCGGCCTTCGACGCGTCGTTTGCCTCATGGCGCGTCCGAATCGCGTTCCTGACGTGTGCACGTGAGTGATGCTTACATAATAACGCAGGATACCGGGTAAGTGAGCGTGGTAACTAACAGACTAACATGCGCCCACACCGCGACGATGTTCATTCATCACGACAACGAGAAGAAGTGAATCGGCGTGGAATGATTCTCCATAATAAAGATAGAGAGGAAAGGAAGATCAGGAAGAGGACCTACATGCGCCAACACTCCGACGATGTTCATCATAACACACGAGAAGAAGTGGATCGGCCTTGAATGCATCACAATAAGTAGCATCACACGTCGCCGAGGTAAGCTTTACAGAGGTTGAAGCGGCTGAAGTCCAAGTTCGAACATGCCCGAGATGCCCGAAGAGCATCATTATGTTGGCTTCAGGGATTCTGGTTTAGCCTTGACGTGCAAGTCTGGGAGGGCAGTAAGGTCAGAGTAGATTTATCTAGATCTGAACAACCCAACTATCCTGAGATGTGAAACCGGTTCAGGCATGCACAGGGGACATCAGCAAAACCGGGGTCTGCTACGTAGTACTACGTAGACTCTGTAGTTACTGTAGTTCTGTAGAAAGGGTACCCTATACATAGTTCTATGTAGTTGAGGGGGTTTCTACGTAATTCTGTGTAGTTGGGCGGTTTCTACGTAGTTGGGGTCCTGGAGCTCACAAAAGTCTTCACCACCCAACAGTCTATTGCTACGTTACATTGTTAACAACATCGAGTTTCGTATTGAGAGGCTAAGACTATCCATCTATCTAACTAACTATTGTATGGTATTTTTAATTAATTAAGCTAAGTTGGTTTTTGAGAGGATCGAACGCGCGACCTCTAGAGTTTGGCCAAAATACAGAATTTCGTGCACTAACTAACTGAGCTAAGAGACTACATAGGTTAAGGAGAACACTTCTCCCATATAGGTACCCTCCTGTCTCCAGGCCAGGTTACTCTTCTCTCTGTCCCAACCCGTCGCCATTCACACTGTCTGCTGTAAGTGCTTGGGATGTGAAGAATTCTCCATCCACTCTGAAAGATCTTTTACCTGGAGAAAAATTCCAAAGTTGTTCCAAGGTATGTGAAATATTTGTTGATGCTAAAAATAGACCAAAACCAAAGTTATAGAGCTTGAAGAGAGCTACAAAAGTCGTCTCTACCACTTTTCACCAAACGGCTTAGTTGAAGCATAAAACACAAAATACTTTCCCATACGCGACAATATTTAAGACCAGAACAACTCGAAACCAGACTTTCTGCAATTTCCCAGACAATCAGACCTTCATGATGTGTGTTGAAGAGTGGGCAGTCAGTCGCTGATCAGAGATTCATCTGCATTATATAATACCCTGTTGAACTACACAAACTACATAGAACCCCCCCAAACTACATAGAACTACATAGAACCGCCTGAACTACATAGAAACCCCTCGAACTACGTAGAACTATGTAGTACTATGTAATTGAGCCAAAACTACAGCCAACTACAGGCCACTACAACAACTACACCCAACTACAGCAAAAAAGAGGTTTTGCTGATGGAGTCGGACTGCCAGGGAAGCATAACGGGCTTGCCAACCGCGATGAAATTACCGAAATCGAGTAGCCGCTGCCCATTTGCTGCAGGTTCTGGTCGACTTCAAAACTCATGTGCGAAAAAGAAAGTATATGCTCAAGGATATGACCTGACCCCGAGTCGAACGGGGGTCTTCTGCTTAGTATTCTATCAATGGTGCATTTTGAGTAGATGCACTACCAACTGTGCTATCAGGTCTTGAGAGCCCACTGTATTGGATGACTCACATATGTACTGTGCCCATCTTCCTTGAGTTCAATCGTTGAGAAGTTGAAAATTCAAACAAGTCCGACATGCCCGCCTTCCTTCTTGGAGATTCTTCAACACCACACCACACCACTCACAATCAACCTCATTCAATAGATGAGATACCGACGTTAGGGGTAAGAGCAAAGCAAAGCAAAAATGTGTGAAAGCAGAATTAAAAAAGAGCGATCCGGAAGACAGCATGACCTGACCCCGGATCGAACAGGGGTCTTCAGCTCAACTTTTCCGTCCTACAAATTTTCGCAGATGCGCTAACCAACTGTGCTATCAGACTTTGCTTGCTCTTGAAATTGAAGGTAATACATACCTATTTATTTTCTTGGACTCAACTTGTTGTGTTGAACAGTTGGAATTGTTGGAACAAGCCCGAGATGCCCGAACCATCTCCTTAAACGGTCAGTGCGCTGATCTATTCAAATCGGTTGCACGCAAATGAAGTCATTGCATCGAGGAACCGCGGCAAGCGAAATGGAAAAGAACAAAAAAGCCTAACGGGTGGACTATGGCCTGACCCCGAATCGAACGAGGGTCTTCTGCTTACTCTGCGAAATGATGTTTATTTTGAGCAGATGCTCTAACCAACTGTGCTATCAGGTCAAGATTGCCTTATATATTGCAGGAAATGCACACCCACCTTCAATTTGACTGAGGGAGATGGTAGAAGAGTGGGAGCCCGAGATACCCCAATGCCCTTGGAACAAATGTTGTGAGAATCAAGTACTTCTTCGGAGTAAAAGATTGGGAGGAATAACCGTGCGATCGAGAAGCACTGTAGGAGGGGAAAGAAACAAAGAAAAAAGCTTCCCCGTTACTCATGACCTGACCCCTGATTGAACGGGGATCCTCTGCTTACACTGGAGAAGGAGACCATTTCGAGCAGATGCACTAACCAACTGTGCTATCAGGTCCTGATTGCTCATGGTACTCCAGGCAATATGTACTTACAGAATTAATGTCAGTTTGTGGTTGTGTTGAAATGGGAAGAGGTCCAACATGCCGCATTCTTTCTCTGAGCCTCTTCAACACCACTCACAGTCAACCTTTATTCGATTAAATGAGATACCGACGTTAGAGGTAAGAGCAAAGCAAAGCAAAAATGTGTGAAAAAGATATTCCTGTTCAAAGACATGACCTGACCCCGGTTCGAACGAGCAGAAAAAACGTGAGCCGGGAAGTATACCAAGTGCCATATACTTCGAGATATTTGAGAGGTTTGATATACTTTCGGCTATTTCCGGTATACACCGGGTATACATTCAGTCTGCTTACCTGAACACTACATCTGTACACTCTGTATACCCCGTATATGTACTTGCAAGGTCGCGAACTTTTAAATCGAACCGGCCGGCACACGCTGTGCCGTATCGCCATCAAGCGGCTGTTGCTGTCAGAATTTAAAGTCCGCGATGCGTCAATTATCGTACCATTCTCCATCCTGACGCGTCTTCGACCGCCGCAGCCAGCATGGTCAACTTCAACGAGATATATCATATTAAATGCTCCTCTCAGCGCTGTTCCCGGGCTCTGTGACTCCATTGGGATGGAAAAGGGAATGGCTTTCGTTCGACTTGCCGGCCGACTGAAAGACGCGATTACTGTTTCTCAACCGCCCACTCACGATGCCGCAGACGCACCCGAGCACCTTCCGGATGGTATTCGAACGATCTCAGGCGGCGGCGGCGGCGGCGGAGGGGAGAGGATATTTTCATTGCAAGGGAAAGGGTCATTATACGGATCTTTGGATGGCGGAGGTACCCAGCGGAAGAAGCCACAATCTTCACACTTGTAGAGGGTCAGCAACAGCCAGAGTGAATGCAGCAAGGAGATCACCGCCTGAAAATAGAGGCCTTCGTGGTCTCGGACGACAGAGCCACGACAGCGCAGGGCGGCAGGAATTTGACGCTGGTACTTGGCAGGTGTACTTGGAACAGAGGACATAAGCCATGACAGGGAGTAACTTTCACACTGAGCGGGGAGCGGACGACGTGTATACGAGGGAGCGTGGTGGTAGGCAGAAAAGACCGATCCGTCTCGAAATCGGGCCGGTGCTATCTCTGCCGAAATTGGCCGAAATTGGCCGAAATTGGCCGAGATATATGAGAGTGTACGATGTGTACGTGGGTATACAGGGTGTACAATGTCTTAAAAATTCCCGGTGGTATACAAAAGTGTACGAAAGTATATCCGGTGTACCGGAATATACAATATATACGGTATACTTCTGTACACTTTCCTATTCACGTTTGTTCTCCGAACGAGGGTCTTCTGCTTAAACTGAGAACGTTCACCTTGTTTGAGTTTGAGTTCAACTTGTTGTGTTGAACAGTTGAAAGTCGGGGCAAGCCCGAGATTCCCGAACCGGCTGAATTATTTCTCTCCTTGAACGGTCAGTGTGGTGATTTATTCCGATGGGTTGCACGAAGATGAAGTCGTTGTGTATCGAGGAGCCGCGGCAAGTGAAATGGGAGAAAAGAAAAAGAAACAAAAGACATGATCAAACACACCCATGACCTGGCCCCGAATCGAACGGGGGTCTTCTGCTTAACCTTCGTAGACAATTGGAGATTTTGAGCAGACGCACTAATCAGTTGTGCTATCAAATCTTGATTGCTCATGGTACTGGAGGTGATATGTACTGCACCAAATCAGACAACTCGTGGTTGTGTAAATTCAAACAAGCCCGAGATGCCCGAACCATTATGAGTATTTCCCTCTCCTGCATATTATATCCAGGCAATCAATTATTGCACGAAGATAAAGAGGAACACGAAGAGGAGCAAAAATGGAGGGCAAAGAAGAGGAGAGAGAAAAATTGTATAAGCACAAAGACACGACCTGACCCCGAGTCAACGAGGGTCTTCTGCTTAGACTTTCTAAGTGACACTGCTATCAGCAGATGCAGTACCAACTGTGCTATCAGGTCCTGATGACTGTGTGTATTACAGACAACACATACCACACCTTCAATTTCACTTTGAGGGATGGTAGAAAATTGGCTCCCTAGAACAAATCTTGTGAGAGTCAAGTACTTACTTCTTCAGGCCTTCAGGGTGAGAGATTGTTTGAAATAACCGTGCGATTGAGAAGCATTTTGTAGGTGGGAAAAGAAACAAAAAGCGCATGGATCATTTGCTCATGACCTGACGCCGAGTCGAACGAGGGTCTTCTGCTTAATTTCATTGCCTCCTGGTTATTTTCAGCAGATGCACTACCGGTTGTGCTATCAGATCTTGATTACTTACAGTGCTGAAGTCGATATGTACTGCACCAAATCAGAGTCAACTTGTATTGAAATTGTTGGAATAAGTCCGAGATGCCCGAACCATTTTCCCCTCTCCGTTGAACATTCAGTACTCAGGCGGCAATTTATTCAGATCAGTTGTACAAGAACCAAGAGGAAGACGAAATCCTTCTATCGAGGAGCAAGCAAAATGGAAACCAGAATTTAAAAAAACGATGAGAGTGACAGCATGACCTGACCCCGAATCGAACGGGGTCTTCTGCTTAACCCACCGTGAAAGTTAATTTTGAGCAGATGCACTACCAACTTTGCTATCAGATCTTTGATAGTTGTGTATTGCGAGAGATACATACATACCTGGAACTCAACTCGTGTTTATTGTATTGAATTGTGGGAACAAGGCCGCATCAGGAAAATCCCAAATTACTATGAGCCACTATGAGCTGCTACATAGACCCAGATAGACACCATAAACCTTATAGACAACTGCTATAGTGTCTATGTGTGTCTATGGATGTCTATAAAACAGGCTATAGATGCCATAGTGATTTGGATTTTTCCTGATGCGGCATACCCCCATTCCTTTTCTGAGAGTCTTCAACACCACTCATGGCAGTCAACCTCTGTTTGACTAAATGAGATACCGACGTTAAGGGCAGGGGCGAAACGAAACAAAAAATGTGTGAAAGCAGAATTTTAAAAAAGCGACGTAGAGGACGGCATGACCTGACCCCGAATCGAACGAGGGTCTTCTGCTTAAGCAACGACGAAAGCGAATTTTGAGTAGATGCACTACCGGTTGTGTGCTATCAGGCCTTAATAGCTGTTGGTATTATAGCTAATACATACCTTCTCGTATTTGAAGTCAACTTGTGGTTGAAAGGCGGGACGAGCCCGAGATGGCCGAACCATCTAAATTATTATTATTTTCCTTGAACGCTCAGTACGGTTATTTATTCATTCGTTCAGACCGAGTTGTAAATACGAAGGTGAAGAGGAAGAGGAAATGTTGGATGGAGGAGGAGCAAAAATAGAAGAAAAAAAAGTTGCGATATTTGAAATGACCTGACACCGAGTCGAACAAGGGTATTCTGCTGAAGACCCTCGACTGTATTATCTGTAGCAGATGCACTACCAGCTGTGCCATCAGGTCGTTAGGATCTTCCTACCAAACGTCGTCTTTACCTCATAGACCTCCATGATTCGAACGCCGGCCTATTATACTTCCCTATTCCGTTAACTTGTCAATGTGCCTGGGTATAAATACATAGATACCCTAAGTCCGCACCGATTCTGAGAAGAAGTTGTCTTTGTGAAGGGTTCTAGGCACAGGAAGGGAAATAGGCTCGGCACAGGAAAGAAAACAGGCTCGTATCGGCACCAGTGCCGGCGCCACGGCGGCGGATGCGGGTGCGATGCGTTCGGATGGCGTCGGGGTGCTATGTCGAGGAGCTAATTGAAGGGATGCAGTTGAGCCGAAGCCACGAAGACTGGGGTCAGCCACAAAGACCGCCGTGAATAGAGATTGATTTACATTTTTAATCTTCACAGCAGCGTCGGCGAAGGGTGAATGTTAAGTCCCCGGTGGGAGAGGCTTTCTTGAGTCAAGGCACCATCGCGATACACAATGCTATCTGGCGTGGCAGGCACCGGTGAAGTCTGTTCATGATGAAATCCCGGTCGTGTAAGGAGATAGATTCGCAGGCGATAATGGAAGCGGGTCGATAGGAAGATCAGGCACACACAGTTGGGCGCGGCGTTCGGAGACAGATTGGCATCGCTCGCTTACATGAGCATTCTGCGCTTATAAAAAGAGTTTGGGAGGCGGTGTCGGCGTCTTCCTTCGGCGGCTTTGGTGCCTGGCGTAACTCAACCACTTCTTCTGTCCAACTACTTTGCTGGATGCACTCCTCGGACGACCCCCTGGACGCGGTGCTAAGGCCCCCGGCGGACGAGACGGCGGAGCAGGCGGCGGTGCGGGAGGCGCGGGAAGCGGAGGCGCGGCGAGTGAGCGCGGCCATCGACGCGGACATCAAGGCGGAAAGACAGGCCCGCAGGAAGAAGCGCATCGTCCGTCTATTGCTCCTAGGCCAGAGCGAGAGCGGCAAGAGCACTACTTTGCGACGTGCGTCCTCCTCCAACTCCACTCTCATACTGCTAATTATTCGGACACAGAATTCCAACGCCTCTACACGCCGACTGCATTCCGCGAGGAGCGTATCCTATGGCGCGCAGTCATCCAGCTCAACGTCGTGCGCTCCATACGCACCATCCTCGAGACCCTCGAGCCCTCCTCCAATAACCCAAGCTCCAGAGCCCCCTCGCGCCCGCGCACCCGCCGCCCCAGCGCCGCCTCCGCATCCATGCTCGCCCTGGCTAGTCCTACCTCGCCCTCTGCGTACGCGAGTAACAACAACTACAACGCCCACGCTGGGCCCTCCTCGCCTACCTCCCCGCACTACAACCACAACCACGGCCCATCCTACAACAGCACCAACAACGGCGCGAATGCGAATGCGGACCCGTACGACGCGGGGTACGACTCCCCCGGGTACGCCTCCCCCGGCGTCGACTCGGACGTCGAGTCCGATCCGGGTGGGGACTCCCTCCCCGTCTTCCGCAACGGCGACTACGGCGGTGGTGGTGGTGGCGGCGCACTGGCGTACCACCACCAGATGCAGCAGCAAATGTCGCAGCAGGCGCGTGCGCCGCCGATACCCACCGCGAGCCCGCCCCCGCCTCCGTTAATCGGCCTGCAACCGGGGAACACGATTAGCTGGGAGGCGCTCAAGCTCGCGCTGCTCCCCCTGCGGCACGTCGAGGCGCTGCTGATAGCGCGGCTGGTGCCGACGGCGGCGGGGGAGGAGGAGCCGGCGTATTTGCCGGGCTCGACGTTGGCGGCGACGTCGATGGGAGGGGTGGGAGCGGGAGGGGGGGAGATATTCGTTAGGCCGGGGGGAAGGTGGATGGGGAGGGGTGCGTGCATTGCATTTACTTTTCTCCTTTCCTCTCTCTTCGAGTTGTTCTTCGGCGTAGACATACGCGTATCTCCATATCTCCATATCTTCTTTTCTGCCTCCCTCTTCCCCCACTAACCCTCCCGCAGGCCGCCGCACCCGCTCCCCCTCCCCCCCCTCCCCCTCCTTCTCCTCCCCATCCTCCTTCTCCTCACCTTCCCAACAAGACGCAGAAATCCAACCAACCCTACACGCCTGCCTTCCCGCCATGCGCGCCCTGTGGGGCGACCCCGGCGTGCGCGAGGTCCTCAAGAGGAGGAGGGTGAGGGTGGAGGAGGGGCCGGGGTTGTGAGTTTTTTTTTTGGTTTTTTTTTGGCGGGGTGTCTAGGGAAGAAAGGACGGCGTGCGCGGGGAGGCGAGAAGGGGGACGCGTGAGCGTGCCCGCATGAGCAAGAAGCTGCACGGGGCACGGGGCGAGACGGGTGCGCTCTTTTGGCGGGACTCGGCGCGCCTGGCGCGTCCGGCGGATGCTCATGTGTGGGCTTCATCGGATGGTCGCTGTACTGCCCGCGCGCGCGCGCGCGCAGGGAGGTTGTGCTTGGGACGCGAGACGGGCGTACTGCGCGGGAGACGCGGGGAGCTGTGCTTGTGCTTGTGCTTCTACGCGGCGCTCCCTCCATCCCTCCTTTCCCTCCCTCCCTTTCTTTATTTTTTTTTGTCCCCACCGCAAATGTACACACTGACGATACAACAGCTTCCTGGACGACCTCGAGCGCGTGACGGGCCCGAATTATCTGCCGACGGATGGTAAGTGCTCTCCCTTTATCCATCGATAACACCGCGCTAACGCTTACGCTTACAGACGACGTCCTCCGCGCGCGCCTCAAGACCGTCGGGGTGTCGGAGTATACGTTCGAGATGGAGGTCTCCACCGGCCGCGAAACGGGCACCGAGTGGCGCATCGTCGACGTTGGCGGGAGTCGGAGTCAGGTGGGTGGTTTTTTCGTTTTCGTTTTTGGCTTGGACGGGGTGGGAGGATGCTTGAAAATGGCGTGCCGCCCTCGTTCTGCGGGAAGACGGGAAGACGGGGTGCGACCCTGCCCCCGACGTCGCGCATGCGAACGTTGGGGCTCCACCCACCCAACGGTCAGCGATACGATGCGATCTACGAGGTCAAATTGTCCAGCAGCGGATGGCGATTATCGCGGTCGTATCGTATCGCGATTGATTTTTGTTTTCTCCAAAGTGGCTGGCGCGTGGGGAGGATCGAGGTTGGCGGTGGTGCCTTGTCGCACCCACATCGCGTCTTGTGTTCCCGCATCCCACACCCATACCTTCTTTTGTGAACCGAATCGAAATCCTAGGGCCCGTTCGCTAACCCTCTTCCTTGCAGCGCGGTACGAATCGGTGAAATCAAGCAGCAACGAAGCAAGCTGACGCGTTTTTCGTTCTTTTTCAGCGACGTGGGTGCCGTTCTTCGATGATGGTGCGTCCTTGCGTGTTGGTTTATTAAGAAGACATGAATATTGACTTTCACTTCTTGCAGTCGACGCAATCATCTTCCTCGCGCCGATCGCGGGCTTTGACCAGGTGTTGGCGGAGGACAAGACGGTTAATCGGCTGGTCGGTGCTTTCGCCCATATCAATTCATATATTCTAACGCACCCTCGTTCTAAAGGAAGACTCGGTCCTCCTCTGGAAGGCGGTCTGCAGCAACAAGCTCCTCGCGGGCGTCGACCTCGTGCTTTTCCTCAACAAGTGCGATATATTGGAGAAGAAGCTCGAGGGCGGGGTGAGGTGCGTTGGGCGCTCTTCTCGTTGCACCACCCGCTAACCGCCGACCCGCACCCTCTCCAGGCTGGTGCGCTACGTCCGCAGCTACGCCGACCGCGAGAACACGTTCGAGGCCGTTAGCCAATGTACGTGCCGTTCGCTCTTTCTCGAGTTGCTTTACCTAACGTCGCGCTGCCACAGACCTACGGAGCAAGTTCAGCGCGATCCACCGCGAGTACTCGCCCAACCCGCGCAAGTTCTATGCCTTCCTGACCAGCGTTACTGTGCGTCTTTCCCTATTCCTTATTCGGAGCGCCCTCCTGATGCGACACGGCCCCTACGCAGGACACGGCGACAACGGGCGGCATCATCGCGAGTGTGCGCGATATGGTTACGCGGCAGCACCTCAAACAGTCGAAATTGTTGTAGGTGCGTGGGATATTGGGGGTTTGGCCACGCTAACTAACCACGGTGTGTTCATTCAGGATGTAAATGGCCATGGACGAGACGAGACGAGACCCGCGCACGCTGGGCCGCACGTACTAGAGCCGCGGTCCGTGTCGACAGCTAGACGGTGGTGGCGCCCGTCGGCCGTTTACCGCCCACGATACGACACGACAACGACGACATACGATCTGCCGGCGCGCCTAACTTACTAGGCACGGACGCCCATGCACCTGCACGCCCCACAAGAGGCCGCGACCTCTTACGACCCTTTACGACCGCCGGCTCGACGCTGGTACCGCCATGGCGATATACAGGCGCCGTCTCGCCTTGGCGCATACGCCACTGCCCCACCCTGCATACCCCTCCGATCATTTGCTTGCTTGCTTGCTTTCGCTTTCCTCGCTCGTCGCTTGTCGTTCTCGCTGTATCCCATCATGCTCACGCTCTGCTGTATCTATCCCCGCGTCGCCGCCCTACGTGTAGAGTCCCCCGCGTTCACTCACTTATGTATAATCATTTTCTTGTTTGTTTTGTTTTGTTTTTGCATACGTATCTACTCTAGATTCACTCGTTCACTCGTTCACGCGTTCATTCATTGATATGTCGTTGTTATCCTATCCTACGTAGAGACGCGGTGCTCGAGAGAGAGAAGGACAGCTGAGTACCTAGTTGTAAGTGTAACTTACTTGTAATTACATGAATTTAAATACAGTGTTTTGGTTGGCTGTGCTGTATATATGCATGTGGAGATTTCATTGCGGAGATTTGGGGCCGTCTAGCACTTTGACCACCGCTCTACCGCAATTTCTCGCTGGTTGTCGCACAAGATTGCGAGCGTGCGGTCTGCATGAGCGGGGCTGAGCTCTGAACAGATCCATGATAATCTAGAGTATTTCTGGCACCCGGACTGAAGTTTCTGACGGGTCCTGGTAAACACCTATTTCTGATTGAACGCTCTCGCCCCGGCGAGCGCCTG